ATTGTTTAAATATATGTTCAAGTATTTCTTTTCTTTTTTTCACCCTAAATGAATTAATATAAAATATCTGTTTTAGTCAAAGGCTGAGCCATGAGCCATAAAGCTGTTTATAATATTGACAATTATTTCTTTATTTAGTCGCTCATTCATTCAAAAAATATTCAACACCAACTTCCAATCAAGATGGAGGAGGCATTAGGTAGACACACTTGACCTCCTCACAAGACCATAGAAGGGATTACAACCAGATCTCAAAAACAAATAACACTGAGAACCATAAGAAAATTAAGCTGTATGGAAGTCTGATAATCAAGGATTTAAAGAAGTCACATTCATCTAGACAGGTAGGAGGGGTGGAGTCATGCAGCTGGGGTAGAGAGGACACAGTGCAGCATAGAGAGGTGGCAATGGCAGCAGCAGCAGAAAGGATGTCCCATATTCATGTGTGGTGGATAAAAATGAGGAGGGATACTTTGGGAGCTAGTGATACCAATCTCAGGTCAGACTGCACAGCCCTGGGTTCTACCACCAGCAAGATAAACTTTACCTCTGGCTGTAAAAATCAGTGGTGATTGGGGCAGCAGAAAAAACTGCTGGATTGTCAATGCTTAAAGGGCCTGCATGGGCTTAGAATGTACACAAACCCCATGGCAACTAGAAGGGCGCCGATCACATATGGGAGGTGGGTGAAGTGACTGGAAGCAAAATGAGTGCCTGGCAGGCCTCTAGAAGCCAGACAGCGGCAATGAACCCTCTCCAGGACCTCCCAGCTCCACACACACAGCTACAAAGCAGTGAAGCGGGTTGCCCCACCCTGGCAGTTACCTAAGGCAACATTCCACACAATTTACAGGTGCGTTTTCTACATAGGCCATGCTACTAAGAGAGGGAGTAAAAGCAGCCTTACCTAATACACAGAACCAAATATAGGGAGGCTGCCAAATTGAGGAGGCAAAGAAATAAGGCTCAAATGAAAGAACAGAAGAAAACCCCAGAAGAAGAACTAAGTAAATGGAGACAGACCACCAATCAGATGCAGAGTTCAAAATGCTGATGATCAGGGTGCTCAGAGAAATCATTGAGTATGGCCACAAAAGAAAGTAAGAAATGAAGGATACACAAAGTGAAATAAAGAAAATTATAAAGGGAACCAACAGTGAAGGGAAGGAAGCTGGGATTCAAATCAATGATTTAGAACAAAAGGAAGAAATAAACACGCAACCAGAACAGAAAGAAGAAATGAGAATTCAAAAAAAAAAAAAACCCCAAAAATAAAACAAGGAGAGGCTTAGGAACCTATGAAACAACTTTAAATGTAGCAACATCTAAATCATAGGGGTACCAGAAAGAGAAGAGCAAAAGCAAGAAATTGAAAACTCTTTTGGAGAAAATAATGAAAGAAAACTTCCCAATCTAGTAAAGGAAATAGACATACAAGTCCAGGAAGCACAGAGAGTCCTAAAGATGTTGGACCCAAAAAGGACAAACCAAGGTACATCATAGTTAAAATGCCAAAGATTAAAGATAAGGAGAGAATCTTAAAAGCAGCAAGAGAAAAGCAGAGGGTTACCTACAAAGGAGTTCCCATAAGACTATCAGCTGATTTCTCAAAAGAAACTTTGCAGGCAAGAAGGGACTGGCAAGAAATATTCAAAGTGATGAAAATCAAAGGCCTACAATAAAGATTATTCTGTCCAGCAAAGCTATCATTTAGAATGGAAGGGCAGATACACTGCTTCTCAGACAAGGTAAAGCTAAAGGAGTTCATCATCACTGAGCCATTATTACATGAAATGTTAGAGCCTTATTTAAGAAGAAGATCAAAATATGAACATTAAAATGTTAATAAATTCACAACTATCAACAACTAAATCTAAAAAACAAAAACAAATTAAGCAAGCAACAAGAACAGGAACAGAATCATAGATATGGAGATCATTTGGAAACATATCAGCTGGGATGGGGAAGGAAGAGAGTGGGGGGAAAAGTTCAGTGATTAAGAAGCATAATTGGTAGGTACAAAAAGGACAGAGGGATGTTAAGGATTGTATAGGAAATGGAAAAGCCAAAGAACTTATATGCACGACCCATGAACATGAACTAAGCGGGAGGATAGCTGAAGGGAAAGGGGGTACTGGGCAGAAAAGGGGCAAAGGGGGAAAAATTGGGGCAGCAGTAGTAGCCTAATCAGTAAAATATACTAAAAAAATATTCAATACCTGTTGTGCTCCAAGCACTGTGCTTTATGCTGGAGAAGCAGTAGCTAGCAAAATCAGGGACCATGACTGCTGTCAGGAGAAATGGGCATTAACCAAATATTATAATTACATATAAGGATGAGTGAACACATACATTGTAAGATAAATACTATAAAAGGAAATTATAGAATAAAAAGACATTCCTGGAAAGGTATTTATGTGGAGCATAAGTGGTAGAAAGAATATTTTAGTAGAGGGAATCAGTCAGTTAAGGTCACTGTAGCTTTGCCTAAGAACAAAGAAAGTAATTTAAAGATGGAAAATGGTTTAAAGAGGGGAAAGTGTGAATGAAGAAAAAGTTATAGGTGATGAGTAAAGTAGGGCGGAAGACAGTTTGGATTAGGTAGTAATACTGGAGATTGGTAGAAAGGGAAGTATTCAAGAAGTAGTTAAGAGATGAAATATAAAAGATTAGACATAAGTTGGATATGGAAGGGATGGTGAAAGGAAAAGCAGTGTCAGTAATAATTTAGATTTTTGTTTAATTAGTAAATGTTTCCATTTACCAGATAGGAAACACCAGAATGGTGGGGGAGAAAGATGGTGAAGATGAGAGAGGTTATCTTATCAGGATTACCCTGGCCTCTTCCAAAGAGTCACTGCTAATGCAACTTTACTCTGGGACTCAAATCTCTACACTAATCCACAATTATGTCTAATGATAAATGGCCATATAACCATAAATCACTTAATAATGAGCAATATTTCATCATCTTCACAGATAATTCTATAATAAACTGAAGAAGTATAACAGCACAGGTTACATTCTGTTCTCTAATTAGATAGTTTCTTCTGGCTCATATAATTATTAATTTGGTACCAGAATGGAAACAGGATATGTAAACATGTATGCAAGAACAGAGTTGGCCTTTTAAAAATTTATGCTAAATGTGTTTTTCTTTACATTCTTCCCAAGTAGCCTTCCTGGAAATTGTGTCAGCTGACTAATCAGCTTCTTGATATCATCTCCCATCATAATTTTAACCAGAGTAAGACATTTCCACTTAAAAAAAACTAAAATCTAACCAGTCCTCATACTTTGCTACAAAGTTCTTTCTTTCTAAAGAGAGCCATGATAGTCCTGGTCAATTGGTTCAATTGGTTGGAGCATCCAAACCAGATGCTCCAAAAGGTTGAGGGTCCAGTCCCCAGTCAGGGCGTGTACAAGAGGCAACTGATCCATGTTTCTCTCTCACATTAATGTCTCTCTCTCTCTCTCCCTCTCTCTTTCTCTTTCCTCCACTGCTCCCCCTTCCTTCCTCTCTCTTAAATTAGTGAACATATCCTCAGGTAAAGATAAACAAACAAAAAAGGACCATGATAAGGAAAATATCCTTGCATATTCCAAACTGCATTTTTGTACAATTTTCATTTTTCTTCTTTTTTGATGATTAATGGTATCTAAAACAGATGAGAATTATTTTTTCTATTCAATATTCAATAGACTTCAGCTTCTGTCAGAAGATAATGTGTTTGTTAATATGTTCTGAATATAACGCTATTATAGCCCCATGTCTTTCCACATTTATTTTAGTTCTTTAAGTGTGGATTCTAAGAACAGATGTTGAAAACATGTCAGATTTTGATTCAATCATCTTATCCCCCACAGTGTTAAAAATGCATTAGCTCATGAAATTTTCAAAATTAGAGCTAATTTAGATGAGAAAATCCAGGCCCAGGGAGCTGAAGGCAGACTCTCACAGTTACAGAGGAAGTTTCGGCGCAGAGTGGGGCGGGCAGCCCCTGCGTGGGTCCTGCACTCCACTCCACTCCTCTACTCATGTGGCTCCTAAAGCCTTTTTATTCAGCACGTATTATATGCTACATAAATTCCCTGATAGTGTTTCCCCGTGTTCGGTCACCTCCTATCATCTCACTTTTACAGATGAAGAACCTGAGGCATAGTTAATACTTTGCCCCAGTAAAGGGTAGACCTGTATACCAACCCATGAAGTTTGACTTCTGCCTCAGTGCAATTAACCAATGCACTATGCTGCCTTTTTAGAAAAGCGCTCAAAACAGCTGAACCTGAAAATGCTGTCCTCTTTCTAATTATTTATATTTGTGTGCATTAATTTTATTTCATATAAAAATATGCATACTTTATTTCATTCATGAAAATCATTTACTTTAAACATTTTCAAGGCTATTTTTATTGTTAGAATGTGAGAAATTATCAAGAAACTTTAGTCACAACATCCCCAAGCTTAACATATTTATCTCCAAATAGGCTAACATTTTTTATGTTCTTCAGAGGAATTCTCATTGCTATGACTATTAAGCCAAGTATAAAGTCAGCAAAGAATTCCCTAAAAGGCTTTAGAACTTTAGAAGTAAAATAATTTAATAACAGGTCCAGTCTGGTTATTTTCCTTCTTTTTAATAGTGAGGAAGTGCTAAAGTAATATAGTCCAAAATGGCCTCATTGCAAGTTTATCATTATATATATTTTTTCCAACCACATTCTGCCCTGGGCTTTTTTTCAGCCTTTCATTTAAACATATTTTTATTGTTGCAGATGTGCATGGAAAAGAATATTGAATGAACTGAATTAAAAACAGTTGATGTTTTGAGTTTTCCTACATGATATTCTCTACACACATTGAAGTTCTATTAGAAGTATGGAGGGGTGGGGTAAAGGAGGAGAAATACCTAAGTGCTAGGTATTCGCACATAAATTATCTTTTTTTTTTTTTTTTAATCAAAGCTCTAAGATATGTATATATTTTCTTTACTTTACAAATGAGGAAGCTAGCGGCCTCCACGCCACGTCGCAGTCCCCGCCGGCCACTCGGTCCCCCATTTCCCGCCTCCCCCTCCCGCAGGCGCGGCCCAGGGCCTCGGCCCCGCGCGGCGGCAGCACGGCGCAGCACGCTCCGCTCCACGCTCCGCACCAAGGCTGACGGCGAAACCGTCCTAAAAGGCCTCCAGTCCATCTTCCAGGAGCAGGCAATGACCGAGTCGGTGCGCACCTGGCAGGACCGTGGCTGTTTAGCGCCCTACACAAACAAAAACGGCAGCTTTGCCAATGTGAGAATTTACCCACATGGATTGGTGTTGCTGGACCTTCAGAGTTACGACGGTGATGCGGAAGGCAAAGAAGTTGAAAGTCTTTTGAACAAAGTAGAAGAAAGAGTTGAAAGCATTGAGTCAGGGCAGTACGGGACGGGTGAAGCGGTTACCACCCGTAGTTCCAGGAGGGGGCCATGGATAGGTACTGGCCCACTGCTGACGGCCGCCTGGTTGAATATGATATAGATGAAGTGGTGTGTGATGAAGATTCACCTTGTCAGAACATTAAAATTCTGCACTCGAAGCAGTTTGGAAATATTCTCATCCTTAGTGGGGATGTTAATCTGGCGGAGAGTGATTTGGCATACACCTGGGCCATCGTGGGCAGTGGCAAAGAAGATTACACTGGCAAAGACGTGCTGATTCGGGGAGGCGGAGATGGGGGCCTTTTATGTGAAATAGTCAAACTGAAACCAAAGATGGTCACTATGGTCAAGATTGACCGAATGGTGATTGATGGATGTAAGAAGTACATGCGGAAAAGGTGTGGTGACGTCTTAGACAATCTTAAAGAAGGCTGCTATCAGGTTCTTGTGGAGGACTGTACTCCAGTACTGAAGAGGTACGCCAAAGAAGGGGGAGAGTTTGATTATGGGATTAATGATTTGACAACCGTTCCAATCTCTACATCTCCGGAAGAAGATTCCGCATGGGAGGTCCTCAGACTGATTCTTGACCTCTCCATGAAAGTACTGAAACAGGACGGGAACTATTTTACACAGAGGGACTGTGTCAATTTGACAGAGGCCCTGTCCCTCTGTGAAGAACAGCTCGGGCACCTGTATTGTTCTGTGGAATTCTCAAAGGAGATCGTCTGTGTCCCTTCATACTTGGAATTGTGGGTATTTTACACTGTTTGGAAGAAAGCTAACCCTTGGAGATCAGTACCCCCTAACCATGTGTGCTTACAAATAGCCTTCCTGACCATCATATGCTGTACATGACAACAAAACAAGTCAGGCAATTGATTGAGAATTCCTCCCAAGTCTTCTTTTTTAATTATTATTTTTAATTTAAAAAAGCAAATGGAAAATGTATATTTTGATCAACTAGGGTGTTTTTTTGAAAGTCAGCTGAAGGATGATTAGATAGCATAGCAAAGGCTGCTAAATGCACTGAACCCCTAGAATGTGATTTTCATTACTTTTTTCCTCCCCCGTGTGGGCTGTTCTTATTTTTATTTTGGTAGACTTGGAATTTGATTGTTTGGAAGAATGAACATCGTTGTTTTTTTCTGGAGGGGAGTTCTTGATGGTGTTTCTTTCCCCCAAAATTCATTGACTTAGATGGTTAAAATTTGGTGCTTACATGAAAGTTAAAAAAATAATTAGGAATGCATTGATTAAAATTACTAGTGAGGAAAAAAATTGAGGAAACTAAGGCACAAAGAGGGAAAATTTTATGCCCTGCTAATGACAGGCAAATACCAGACCCCTATCCAGGAATGTTTGATAGCTGAAACTTTCACCACTGCTTTGTGCTAAGTGTTGTGCAAGAGCCTACATAGCATCTAATAATTTCGAAGGAGAGAGAGGCAAGGGAGAATTTTTTAAAGGAATCAGTAGCGTTTTGCAGGGGTATGTGTAGAAGGGTAACAGGTAATGTGGAGAATAATATGGGTGGAAGAGAAGAACAGAGGAGAAGAGAAGAAGGTGATAAAGAAAGAGAGACCTTACAGTGGGGAAGATGGGGAATGTGAAGAAGATAGATTGAGATGCCAGAAGGACAGGAGAGGAAAAAAATGTTTTCCTGGAGTTATTGAATGGGATAGGTAAGAGATACGAATAGAGAGAGAGTATCAAATGATGACATGTTAAAAAAAATGTCATCACAATTGACTTCTGAATATTTTTAAAGCCTGAGTAGTTTTAATTTTTTTGTGTGTCAATTTTGTGATGGAAGGTTATTTTAAATGTAATTTTATATAATCTCTGGACCATGTGGGACCTCAATTTTATTAGTGTTACACTTTAACAATCAATAAATTTATTCATGGATATTCCTTCATATTACTCCCTGTGTTTTCTCTTTGTTTCTTCTTACTATGAGGGAAAGGCAGAGAAGAAAATGAAAGACTATCCTAGACTTATATATGTGTATAAGTACTTTTTTACACTATAAGAATCAATGCAAATACAACATATTAGCATTTTGGCTGAATTAAAGACAGTTGAGTTTTGGACATTTGAAATGTATAATTTAAACAATTATAACCAAAAATGTATTAGCTACTACTGTGCACCTGGATGGACAGGGAAAATATGAGGTCTGTCCAGATAAAGTCCAACCACTTTTAATATAAGAACTGTTTGCTTAACATCCATGCAATCTGGCAGCCAAGGAGAATGGACTGGAATACACATGCACAAAAAATGTCAACTTCACTTTACTAGTCAGTGGGGGCAGTAGATGCCATTAAGTGAGCATTTGTACTGGGTGGTCATCACATTCAAAATGACAGAGCAAGTAGAGCAATGAATCTGCATCCAATTTTATGTTAAACTTGAACGTTCCTCTGTAGAAATTATTCAGATGATTCAGAAGGCCACAGGTATGGACAACTGGTAGCTTCATCATGGCAACACACTCCCTCATATATCACATCTTGTGTAGAGTTTTTGGCAAAACATCAAATCACCCAGGTGACTCAGCCCCACTCCAGCCCAGATTTGACACCCTGCAACTTCTGGCTTTTCCCAAAACTAAAGTCACTTTTGAAAGGGAAGAGATTTCAGACCATTAGTGAAATTCAGGAACACAGGACTGGGCAGCTGATGGTGACTGCGAGAACTGTGTGAGGTCCCAAGGTGTGTACTTTGAAGGGGACTGAGGCATCATTGTCTATGTACAATGTCTCTTGTATCTTGTATCTTCTTGAAGAAATGTCTCTATTTTTCATAGTACCTGTCTGGATACTTTCAAGACAGAGCTTGTACGCTTCTCTAATTCCCCCAGCTTTCTTTTCAAACACCCTAGACTACTATTTCTTTTTCTTAACGTTCAGATAGTCTTCATTTATTTACTTGTATATCTATTGTTGGTCCAAAAATTCCCTGATTTTATTCATCTATCACTTACCAAAAGGGATAGACACCTACTATCTGCCAAATTCCCCATGAAGCATTGCTCTTACTCCTATCCATTACCTATGCTGCTATATTGGCAGGTTTTCCTGGAATTGCCAACAGAGTAAATATAATTACAATGGATCTTAGAGTCCCTTTCCTCTCCTAATGCAGAACTACCTACTATGTTATCATAGAGAGATGGTCAAATAGCTTTAGTCCAGGAAGATATGTTCTGTCTTTAAGCAGAAAATATGAAATAGCTTTTAGAAACATTTCCTTAGAAACCTATAGCTTTTAGAAACAGCATCTCTAGCCTAAGGCTTAAGATTGGCTTAGAAATTTGAGAAGAGCTTTTAGTATAAAAAAAAATGTAGAAGATCGAGCTACCCTTCTCAAATTGCGGATTATATGGGGGATTAGAACTATTTGGGTAATGAGTTCTGTAAATGATTGTAGTTTGCCATTGGCCACTTCTTATTAGTGTGCCAGGGAACAAAATACAAATCCTCCCCACTCTCCTTGGAAGATGACTCAGGATACTAAGAGCCATTTGTTAGAAAGTGGGATTTTTTTTTAATAATAGCTGCTGACAATTGTAGACACCCTCAGGAAAAATCTGAAAGAATAATAGCACCTTTTAAATGAGATAATTTAAAATGAGTATTTTGATATACTACTATAATTTTGAAAATATATCAATAAAATATTTAACATTGCAGTTACAGAGATTAAATATAATCTTTTCAAATGTTCATAGAGCTTTTTTTTAAAGGTTGATGCAACCATTAAAAACAAGATCTCATACTAAGCTAGAAATAACAGTTTAGAAAATTCCCCAAAGTAGAAATTTGACAAGCTGCATTGTCTGACCATAGTAACATAACAGTTGGGTACAATTTTTAAATTTAACTAAACTGTAATTACAAAAACTTTAAAAAAAAGACTTAATTTTTGGTTGCTGAAAAAAATTCAAATTACACTGACAGACTATTCATAATTTAGTTTTAAAACACTGCATATGAAAATTTATGAGATGTGATTATGATTATCTATTGGGACAATGGTAGACATGAAGTGTAATAGTGAAATTTTAAAATATATGATTCTATTCAGTTGAACTTTCTGCAATAATGGACCATTCTCTTCATTGTTCAAGGTGGTAGCCAGTAGCCACATGTTGCTATTAAGGATTTGAAATATGACTAATGTACCTAAAAATTTTGAATTTAATGAGGAAAGTTCATAGTAAAAAATACTTACATTATTAAACATGAAAGACTAGAAACAAATAAACTAAGCACTCAGCTCCAAAACCTGAAAAAAGACATGAGTGTTCTCTACACCATCCAATACGGTAGCCAGATATGACAATTGATCAGTTGAAATAAAACTAATGAAATTGCAGAACTCAATTTTTAATTTTATTTAATTTTTACCAATTTAAATATAAATTTAAATACTACATGTAGTTGGTGGCAACTATAATAGAAATTGCAATCCCAGACACAAATCTCTTAAATTCATAAATGTATTTCTGAAGTTTCAACTAAATACCATAAACTGTGCTATGTTCTGAGGACACAGGAGTGGTTAAACATACTTCACCTCTTCCAATATGACACAAACATTCAGTCTATCTCAACATTATTATTAAGAATACTCATAAATCTTGTTTTGCCATGTTGATCTTCTGAAAAAATATGTGAAATTTAAATAGAAAAAAATCTAAATATAAATTTACTAACTTTTATATAAATAAAATTTTACTAGAATGAAAGCTGCTTGTACTTGGGACTGTTTTTGTTTACCACTATATGACCTTGCTTAAAAAGGGGTATGACATACAGTAGACATTCATTATATCTTTGATGAGAGAGAGAAAAAAAAGAATAGGATGAGAAGGAGGAAGGAAAGAGGGCAGAGAGATGGAGAATTATATGGTTTTTCTTTCATACCACATGATGTTGGATTATGGTATTGATATTAAATTATATGATTATACTGATAAGATAATAAGGTAAGAACAAATATAGTAAGATTTCCTTTCCCCTGATTTACATATAAGGCTATATCTGTTAGGCCCACACAAGATTGCTCCAGACATTTAATAAGGTATGCTGGAGATGTTAAAAAATCTTTTAACTTTTTTACAAAAGCAAATGTATTTCAGGACTATATATTTTTGTTAATTATCAATTTTACGTTATTCTAGGTAATGTGACTTGCAAGTCAGAGGGAATTATAAGATGTTAAATATTATTATTGTTAGAATTGAGAGAGTTTTATGTTCCTCAATGTCACTAAATACTGAATTGGAAAAGAAAAGAATGAAGGGAAGGCAAAATTGACAAGTTAGTTGAAGGAGTTGATCATCCCTGGAGACACCATGAAGGTCAAAGTGAGTGCAGGTCCATGATCCTTAAGACATAGGATAAGTTCTTTACATATTTTGGAGATTAAACCCTTGTCCAAGGTGTCATCGGCAAATATGTTCTCCCATACAGCTGGTTCCCTTTTCATTTTGATGGCTTTTTAGCCATGCAGAAGCTTTTTAATTTGGTGTAGTCCCATTTGTTTATTTTTCCTTTATTTCTCTTGCCCTAGGAAATATATTGGCAAAGATATTGCTACGTGGGATATCTGAAATTTCCCTGCCTATGTTTTCCTCTAGGACTTCTATGGTGTCACGGCTTATATTTAAGTCTTTTATACATTTTGAGTTTATTCTGGTGTATGGTATAGTTTCATTTTTTTGCATGTACCAGTATGGTTTTCCCAGCACCATTTATTAAAGAGGTGCCTTCATTCCATTGTATGCTTCTGCCCCCTTTGTCAAATATTAATTTACCGTACAGAAATGGGTTTACTTCTGGCCTCTCTTTTCTCTT